AAAGTTCTTTAACGAAGACGAAAGAGATCTGCTCAATAGAAAAACAATTACCCTCTACCTGTCGCTTGATACAGTGAAGCCGGACTCTTTTTTGCGTAAAGACCGCTTTTCGTTGGAAAATACGCCATATAAGGCTGCTCAAGGGTGCGGTATCTTCAGTGTTTGGAGTATTCATCTTACACGCATAGAATCATCGTGCATTTCACCTTTATGAGGCTGTGACTCGAAGAATCAACTGATTGCTATTTCACCATAAACTTTCAACTCCTCTCCCCCTTCTCCATGATGCTCAAGCGGCAGAAATGGAAGTACTAGGTTGAGAGAATACCACGAGAGAAAAAAGGGATGCCATCGAAGATCTGCGACTTTCAGACATATGTCTGAAAGTGTCACGACCTATGGAACGAGTTGTCATGTGCATAGTAAACCCCTCCTAGCATGTTTCGCAAGCATCGTCGGTCAAATTCTGGAGCTGCTTAATGTAAGCAGGAGCAGTGCCAGTTTTGCCTAACCGCGAAGAATTCCTACCAAGGCCAGATGCGAATCCTTTTCCCCAGAGAACAAGTACGATCCCCTTGATGGGAATCTCCCAATGATGCTTTACCCTGGTCCGAGCATTACCCCATATGGTCAGCGGCGCTACTTCCCATTTCACCACCCTTAGCTCAGTTGAAAGGATTCCTACATACAGGGGGGCAGGGCAATAAAAACTCACTTTTCTTCCTTGACTTTCGAGGCGCTATAAGTTACACTTTATTAAATTCTGATCGGACATTTCCACCACCATATTGAAGAGCATATTAAATACTATCATGACACTCCGCCACAGCCTTCTGGACGAGCGCCATCGAGAGATTCTGGCACGCGACCGCGATGTGGTGCCTGAGATCAGCGAGATAGTCGATTTCTCCGCCACCGTAGACCACCCTTGACTTCGCCCAAACGAAAATGAGGGAGTTTAGGTCAGAGTGACCTGCTTGGATATTCCATCTCCTTAGGTACTCAACGCCCTTCCATTATAAGTAGGCGAGAGTTTTTCCAACCCATCCTATTCCATGTGGTGGCGCCTCAATGCTGTAGCAGTACAAAGCTGTCAAGAGGGTCGGTGCGAAAAAGATGTGGGTTAAATATATCATACATACATGTGCGCACAGCGCTCATCTTCGGCCGGGGCCCACGAAGAAATATCGGTTCTTCCATTCCAGGTACGTCCGTCCCCGCTATCAAAAACTGCCTTTGGCGACGAGGTGAAGATGATGTCCTAGACCGTAGCGACGTTGTCGGAGCTGCTCGATGTTGGAGGTCTTCCAGATCGAGAGTACTGGTCTCCAGGTAGCTATCCATGGGTGACTCCACACTAGAAGTTTCGCAGCTGTTTGGAGGTGACGTGAATTCCAAAGGTCTTCTCCAGTCAGACTGCTACTGGAGATGACTTCATATTTTGATGGACATGAAGCTGATGGGCAAGAGCGGTTTTCCTGCGAACTCTATCTTTGGGTATCTTTCCGCCCTGGTACTAGTATCAGTCCTTGGGCTGTCGAAAACTTATGCTGAACTCGCATCAAAGTATTTGTCTTTTTTTTTTATTGGGTTTTTTCCCCCGGGCGGGCCCCCCCCCCTCCCCTGTAAGAACACCCCCCTGTAGAACTTGACAGCTTCGTGCGTATATGAACATCTATCACGCTTGCGAAAAAATCCGCTCTGGTCCAACATTTTTTGGTAATTTGAATTTTTGTCAAAGACTTTTCCTGTTAACTTGATAAAGAACGGCTTTTCTGCGCGTCGCCACGAGATGCGTTTTCAGCCTCCTCCCAAAAGGGTCTGCTTGTACGCGGCGTGCTCAGTTGCAGCTGAACGACGTAACCAAGGCGAGCGAAAGTGATAGTTCGCCGAGTATGAATGGCTGCCTTCACTTAATTCAGAATTGTGAAATGATTTTAATGAAATGTGGAAACATTTGAAGCCCTTGAATTCTTCGAGACGTCAGCTAAGGAAAACATCAACGTGAAGGCAGTATTCGAGAAGTTGGTAGAAATAATCTGCAATAAAATGGCTGAAAGCCTTGATAAGGTGAGGAATAGCTGCACATGTAGGATCTCGAGACTTAGAAAATCGTTTACATTTCAGGACCCTCAGCAGCAACCAAAAGGTCAGCGACTCGACGCTACTACGAACCAGAAGCCGCCAACGCAACAGTGCAATTGTTAGAAGTTTCACA